ACTAGAAATTAAGCATACACGGACTGAAATAACGAATATTATACAGACTCCCGACAGCAGACCAGAGGAGCGCAAGAATCAAGTCAATGATTTGAAATGCGAGGAAGCAAAAAACACCCAACCGGAAAAGCAAAATGAAAAAAGAATCCAAAAATGCGAGGATAGTGTAAGGAGCCTCTGGGACAGCTTCAAGCGTACCAACATCAGAATTATAGGGGTGCCAGAAGATGAGAGAGAGCAAGATATTGAAAACCTATTTGAAGAAATAATGACAGAAAACTTCCCCCACCTGGTGAAAGAAATGGACTTACAGGTCCAAGAAGCGCGGAGAACCCCAAACAAAAGGAATCCAAAGAGGACCACACCAAGACACATCATAATTAAAATGCCAAGAGCAAAAGATAAAGAGAGAATCTTAAAAACAGCAAGAGAAAGAAACTCAGTTACCTACAAGGGAATACCCATACGACTGTCAGCTGATTTCTCAACAGAAACTTTGCAGGCCAGAAGGGAGTGGCAAGAAATATTCAAAGTGATGAATGCCAAGAACCTACAACCAAGATTACTTTATCCAGCAAAGCTATCATTCAGAATTGAAGGTCAGATAAAGAGCTTCACAGATAAGGAAAAGCTAAAGGAGTTCATCACCACCAAACCAGGATTATATGAAATGCTGAAAGGTATCCTTTAAGAAGGGGAAGAGGAAGAAAAAGGTAAAGATACAAATTATGAACAACAAATATGCATCTATCAACAAGTGAATCTAAGAATCAAGTGAATAAATAATCTGATGAACAGAATAAACTGTTGATTATAATAGAATCAGGGACATAGAAAGGGAATGGACTGACTATTCCTGGGGGGGAAAGGGGTGTGGGAGATGCGGGAAGAGACTGGACAAAAATCGTGCACCTATGGATGAGGACAGTGGGTGGGGAGTGAGGGCGGAGGGTGGGGCGGGAACTGGGAGGAGGGGAGTTATGGGGGGAAAAAAAAGAGGAACAAATGTAATAATCTGAACAATAAAGATTTAATTTAAAAAAAAAAAAAAAAAAAAAAGTATGTGAAAATGTATTTTTTTTCATCTTCACACATAATTGATAAATTGGCCAGGTTCCAATTCTAGATTGGAAATAATTTCCCTTCAGAACCTTGAGGGCATTGACTGGCTCATGTAGCTTCACAGCGCTGCTGTCCAGAAGCTGATACCTGAATTGTTTATATGGGATGTTTGACCTGTTTTATTTTTCTTTCTGGAAGCTTTTAGGGCTTTACCTTTATCAGTGCTGTTATGAAATTTAGTCCTCACTGACCTTTTTTTCTCCCCCTCACTTACTGTGCTTGATACTTGATAGGTCCTTTCAGTTAAGATATAAATCCTTCAGTTCTAATAAATTTTTTTAAAAATAAGTTCTTCAATTTTTCTGTTTCCTTTTCCTGAAATGCCTGACTTTATCTTAAATACCTATTATTTTTTTCTTCTATTTTCATCTTTCTGTTTTTTAATATTGTTCTTTGCAAGAGTTCCTTAACTTGCCCGGCCGGTGTGTCTCAGCGGTTGAGTGGTCACTGGTTCGATTCCCAGTCAGAGAATCAGTGTTAGGAATTCTTTCTCATCATTGATGTTTCTATTTCTGTCTCTCCCTTACTCTCTGAAATCAGTAAAAATACATTTTTTTAAAATATATATTTTATTGATTTTTTACAGAGAGGAAGGGAGAGGGATAGAGTTAGAAACATCGATGAGAGAGAAACATCAATCAGCCGCCTCCTGCACACCTCCTACTGGGGATGTGCCTGCAACCAAGGCACATGCCCTTGACTGGAATTGAACCCGGGACCTTTCAGTCCTCAGGTCAAAGCTCTATCCACTGAGCCAAACCAGTTAGGGCAAAATACATTTTTTAAAAAAGAATTCCTTAACTTGTTATTTCAACTTTTCTAATTTTTTATTTTGACCATCCAGTTTTTATTGTTCAAGATTGTTCCTTTTTAATAGCACTTTACTCTTTTTACCTGGATTTTGTATCTTATCATACACCTCAGTTGTGTGTGTATGTATGTGTTTTAAGTTTTCTTCACCCTGTATTGTCTCTTTCTTCTGGGTTTTTAATTTTTTTTTAATTAATAGAGAGCCACAGGAAGTTGCAAAGATAATACAGAGAGATTGAATGTGCTCCTCACCCAATTTCTCCTAATGGTTACATCTCACATAAATTGTAGCACAATATCAAAACCAGGAATTTCACCTGGGTACAATGTGTGTGTGTAGATCCATGTTATTTTACCTCAGGGGTAGATTTGTGTAACTGCCACTGCAATGTAGACACAGAACTGTTCCATCACAGAAACTCCCTCCTGCTCCCCTCATAGTCACGCTTCCCTCCTTGCTAAAATCACTAACTCTGGTTTTTAATGATTTTTTTTATCATGTTGATAATCCTCACCTGTTCATTCATATTTAAGACTAGGGCTCTCAAGTGGAGACTGGAAGGACTTCACTGTAAGGGCTACAATTCAGTTCTTATCTTTGATATAGTAGAGAACTCCAATTCAATGTCTGTAGGCTTTCTAGAACCATTTTCTCCGGAGAAGTGTCTCTCGTTCTCCTGAGGAGAAAGTGTGGGTGATGGGGATGTGTGCAGCTCTGCACCTCATCCTGCTGTTCTGTGCCCACCACAACGCATGCCTCCTTTCTGCTGAGTACTCCAAGTCTGGACTTTCTTGGTTCAGTTTCTCCAGAGAATAAGCCTCATATGTTTACATGCGATGTGTCACTCTGTGTACATACTTTCAGGTCATCCACTCCCTGTTTATTGGCGTTATCCCTGTAGGCAGCCTGGCTTACCTTCCTCTCTTCTGCTGAGGTAGTTGCTATGCTTCCATCCACTTTCTCTCTTCCACACATTTGACTTTTCTCCCAGTGCACTCATCCTTATAGACTTAGTATACATTTTACATTCTGTTACACTTGTTTTAGTGCAAATGTTTACTGAACATGTGGTAGGAAATATGCCGTGTTGAGCCAGAATCTCTCCGGAGTTCTCTAAATGCATATGAAACAGACCATTTTATGATTTGAACAAGGCCCTTTTTAAATAAATTTTATTGAAGCACAATTTACACACAGTAAAGTATAACCACTTTAAGTGTACAGTTTGATGAGTTTTGACGAGTTTATATTCCCATGTAACCACTACTACATTCAAAACATGGTCCATTTCTATTACCCCAGGTTTCCTTTGCTCTTTCCCAATCAGTCCCTACCACCATCCCAGGCAGCTGCTCAACTACTTCCTGTTTTTTTCTAAAACTTCATATAAATGGAATCTTTCAAAACATACTCTTTTGTGTCTCCCTTTTTTGACTCACCAACAAGTTTTTGAGACTCATGCATGTTACTCAGTGTATCAGTAGTTCATTCATTTTTATTAGTGAAATTCCATTGTATGTATACCATAGTTCATGTATCCATTTACCTATTGAGAACATTTATGAATAAAGATGCTGTGAATATTTGTGAACAAGTCTTTTGTAGACATGTTTTCATCTGTCGTGGGTGCTGACCTAGGTAGGATTGATAAGCTGTGTGGGAAGTGGTTTACATTCAGAAGCAAGGGCCAGTTTACATTCCCTCACAGGCGTGGGAGAGTTCTGGTTCTTTAACATCCTTGCCAACACATATGTTTCAGTTCTGGAATTAGATAGTGGTCTTTTTTCAATTCTAAGTTTTAAATAAAAAACTTTGTTTTAAAATATTATATAATTAAAAGTTGATTCAGTGAGTTCAGACTCCAGCGTTTACCTGCACTCAGTTTGGTGTGATCCACCTGTTAGCACATGGAACCCTTTTCTGTGGGCCTGCGGCACAGGCTCGTCTGGTTAAGTTTCTGTTTTCTTTAGTGGGAAGTAACAAATGACAACCTAGTTCCACTTTTCTTTTTTTTAAGTACACTCCAGCTTCTTTCTTTCTCTCTCTCTTTTTTTAATTTTAATTTTTTTTATTTTTATTGAATTTATTGCAGTGACATTGTTTGATAAAATTTTACAGGTTTCACATGTACAATTCTACAATACATCATCTATATATTGTATTGTGTATTCACCCCAATTTATGTCTTCTTGCACCACCATTTATCCCCCCCTTTTTCCCTCTCCTACCTCCACGCACCCCTTTTTCAGCTTATTTCTTAAGAAATATAAAGACTTATTTGCTTTATTTCATTTATAAAAACTGGTTTTGTCTAAAGGGGACATATGTAATACTTTCAACAATAAAATATTATTTAAAAAAAATGAAACAAAACAAATTTTTTAAAAAAAAGTTAAGATGAAAAAGCAAAAAATAAAGTATCAGGTACTGATTTAACCTCATTTAATTCTCACAGTTGTATAGAGCGGACCGTATTGTCTTTGCTTTGTAAACAAGGAAACTGGAACATGAAGAGTAATAATTTATCTGAAAACTTCCCAGAGAATTTTAAAAAGCTTAGTTTTATATTCAGTACTTAGCATAATTGTTTGGTTTCCATCACTCAAAAAAATAAAAAGGAAAAGAATATGCTTTTTTTAAAAACCAAGTGCAGAGATGTTAGGAGCTGATAAGAAAGGTTATCCACTGAAGGACACTGAATTCCTGAGAGCTGAGTTACTTTGGTACTCGTCAGCCTGTGCTCAGCCACAGGCCAGGTGTTGGCATCATGTGCATAGTTCAAGTATAATTACACCTGAGTGATTCTGTGGTTTTGGTGATTGGATGGTGTGTGCACGTGGGCCCAGGAAATACCGATGTGTAGGTTACCATCAGGAAAAGCTACTGATGAGTTCTCCACCGGTTAACATTCACCCTCTCTCCTTGGTCAAGCCTCTAAAGCAGTGGTTCTCAACCTTGGAACCACTGCTCTAAAATATCAAAAATACTTCATGTTTAAATAGATCTATATATCAAAATAGATTTAAAGATAAGTAACACCTTTTCTCTTACTTTTCTTTCTTTTTAGGTCTTAACTGATGTAAGAAATCTCAGATTTCCACCACTGTTTACTCAGAAATATCCTCGTGAGGTTTGTATAATTCTCATCTTTTATTTTCTTTAGAATCATATTTAGAACTTACAGGGTCCCTAGCGGTCAGTTCATCAGTTGCCCCATTTTACTGATGAAGCTACAGGTGTAGGGAGGACAGGAACCTGAGCCAGAGCACCATCTTATTAAAACAAGACTGGAGCTCCTCAGGGCCGTGGGCTGTGCTCCCAAGCTGCTGGCGTTCTGCCTGTGGATTGTAGCCACCTTTCCCTTCTACAGGGCTCACCTCCAGGTGGACCTCGCAGGACAGTTGCTATTGTTACCATGCCATTAATGGCTTTATCTTTGTGAATTTGGGAGCGATCTTAAAAACTGGCTTCTTTGGGGTGGGGGCATTAGGTCCTACTGATTGTGTGTTGGAGTCACATGGCTCAGAGTGCCACAGTAGAATGTCAGGAGAGGGGGTGGGACATAAGCTAGTCTTGTATGGTGAAAGTTATGTGTGATGAACCCTTGGCGGTTTCTTTTTTCAGCTTTTGTTTATTTTTATTTCATAAAATGTTTTGTCCACATACCCTTTAAAATTTACAGATTGATTACTCTTGAATTTTCTTAAATAATTAAGTTGAAGTAAGTTAGACTTAATCATCGATTGAAGTTTAAATTTATCTTTCAGTATTATAAGTATAATAAAGGATTGCATTAAAATGAATTTTATAATAATAGATACTGGTACACTAACCTAAATGAAATATATTTTTATTAAAAATCATTTCATTATATATTTTGCAGATTTAATGACTCAATTAAATGAGAATATGTTACATTAAAGGGGTTCAAAAAATTCTTAAAGGTGTCAAGTGTTGATCTCTGGCGTAGTTATATTTGAATTGAAATTTTTATTGAGATGATTGTACATTCATGTGTAATTGTAAGTGAATTTGTTTCTAAAGTCAGATTATGTGTGTGTTTCAAGGATATGATTTAGGACTCTTTATTACATCTTATAACAAGCAATTACCTACAGTGGCCCATATTTATTTGGAGCAGGAGTTGGCCAAGTCGAGCCTGCTGCCTGTATCTATACTAATAACAGAGGAATATGCAAATTGCCCAGGATGCCGTCATGTAATGACCAATCAGGACGGGGGTGGGGCTGCGGTGGAGAACTCTCAGCATGCCTGCGCCAGGGGTCCAAAGGGTGTGGAGAGGAAGGGAGAGCAGATAGGCAGTTAGGGGGATCAGGCCAGGAGGGGAGCGCAGATAGGCAGTTAGGGGGATCAGGCCAGGAGGGGAGAGCAGTGGGGCTCAGCCTGGCAGGGGAGAGCAATTAGGAGGATCAGGCCAGAAGGGGAGAGCAGTTAGGCAGTTAGGGTGATCAGGCCAGGAGGAGAGAACAATGGGGACCAGACTGGCAGGGGAGAGCAATTAGGAGGATCAGGCCAGGAGGGGAGAGCAGTTAGGGGCATCAGGCAGGCAGGCAGGTGAGTGGTTAGGAGCCAGTGGTTCCGGATTGCGAGAGGGATCCCGGATTGGAGAGGGTGCAGGCCGGGCTGAGGGACCCGCCCCTCCCCTGTACAGAAAATTTCATGCACCAGGCCTATGGTAAATACATAAAAGCCTAATATGCAAAGTGTCCCCTCAGGAGTTCGACTGACCAGGAGTTCGATCGCTTGCTATGATGTGCGCTGACCACCAGGGGGCGGCGCGGAATGAAGGCAGGCCCCGGCTGACAGCTGGCAGCCGCTAGGGACCCTACCTATGCACGAATTTTGTGCACTGGGCCTTTAGTTTTTGTAATAAAGTTTTGGGATCCAGCCATGCCCATTTGTTTGCAATCTGTCTGTGGCTGCTTTTGTATTGCAGTGGCAGAGCTGAGTAGTTGCAGCAGAAGCTGGCTTGCAAACTTAATATGTTTACAGAAAAATTTTGCTGACTCTTGAACTAGGGGACTGTTTAGTGTTCTAAATCTGACCCATTTATCACAAAACAATTTTTATATTTCAGTATATGATGGTTCAAGAGATGCTCTCTCCATCCCCCATGGAGCGGCCTGAAGCTGCACACATCATTGAAAACACTGTATTTGAGGACTTGGAGCTTCCAGGAAAAACTGTGCTCAGGCAGAGGTCCCGCTCCGTGAGTTCATCAGGAACAAAACCGTCAAGACACTCCAGCGACTCCCGTAGCCCTTTGCCAAACAGTTCGCCTTAGGTTGTGGCTGTGCCCTAACAGATGACACAGAATAGTCTCTGCTTAGGAATGTGGCTTTCCAAAATTGTAGACTTGAGAACTTTGTTCTTTGCTCAGTTTTATTTTGGACTACTTTTTCTAAGTCAAATTTAAACTGAATTTTGGGGCACAACCTAATTTGAGCCAACTCTTGATTTTTGCTGTCCTCGAGGAGAGAACCATCACTAAATCACGTGTGGTCCTTTTTCTTGGTGGGTCTCTTGAAACTGGCTGGCCACGCTCTGTAGCCCTCACCTGTTGCCTGACGAGGTCAAGCAATCCCTAAAATTAATAGATATTTTTATAGCACAGAATCATGAAAATCCCTACATACTGTAGCTACATTGTTCTAGAAATACGCTTTCTAGAGATACTGCTGATTTTTAAACTGATTTCCAAAAAGCTGACTCCATTTTTGTCTCAGTGGGTAAATCAGAAATCTGCACTATTTGGGAGGACAAGTAGCACAAACTGCACAGTGGTTTACGTCCATAGCTAGTTCTGTAGTGGCCTCGGTAGCATCATAGCTGTTTCTCAGATGGCCCAGGGAGGGTGTAAGAGCTTGTGCTTTACCTCCAAAAAAGGGAATGAAGCTTTTATGTAAATTGGTCAAAAGTTCTGGTTTGGGGATGAAAAAAGGCCGTAGTAAGAAATGGATCACATTTTACAGTTAACTTCTTTACTTATGGACTTTAAACCGAATGAAATCTTAAGTGTCTTATATGTAATTCTATAGGCAGGTTGTTTTCCAAAACTGATTATAGATAACAGTTTAATCATCTAACTTGTTTTTATTTTCACTGTAAATATGTTTATTTTTTATTTATAAAAATTCTGAACTCAATCCGTTTGGGTTGGTGGTATATAGAACACACTTAAGTGTGTTAACTATTGTGACTTCTTTCAAGTCTAAATGATTTAATAAAACTTTTATTAATTACTTATGGTTGACTCTGATTTGGGGGAATTAGCCCCAAATGGTAGTTTTTCAGATTTATAAAATATGATTCTGCATCTGAGGCGGGTCATAAGCCTACCCTCAAACTCACTCCTAACCTGTTCCAAACCCGTGTCTTCTCTGTTCTTTTCCAAAGATTTGACCAGGGCCATGTCCTTTTCAGAACCCAAGGGCTGAGTCCAGAGATGTGTGCTGAGCCCCACTCGGCTGGACTGAGAACTGAAGAGGACCCTGCCCCGGAGGGACACCTCAAGGCCAGGGCGTGGCCTTGCTGGCTTTGCTGATGCCACTGTGTGTCTGATGTGTGCCACATGAAGGTCCGTGGCATGCTGGGTGACTAGTACAACCTAGCCAGACAACCTTTAGGTCAAGGTGCATGCTTACTTTCATTTCTCAGACAGGTAATGTCGGTCTCACAAAGTTATGAACAGTTTTCAAGCTGGAAATCATGTCACAGACCTTCACTCCTCAGTGCAGCCTGACCATCATCTTTGTCCCCAGGCTCCGTGTGGCTGCCGGCCAGCCATCCCACCTCTCTTCTCTTGGTCAGCCTGCTCCTGTTGCTGCTCCCCTACCTTCTTTCTTCTTCACCCCCTCCAATTACCGCTGCAGACCCTGCAACCCTCACAGGTACCCTGAGGGCTGACCTTGGTAGGTGTTAGGATAGCTGTTCTACCTGTGGGGAGGCCCAGGTCCAGAAAGGTGCTGGGTTTGCCCCAGATCACAAAGCCAGCAAAATCAGAACTGGGACCAAACCCCTGGTATTCTGACTCCCGGTCAGAGTTTTGCCTACTCCCTGTCCCAAGCTGTCTAAGGATTTGCAAAATTTTTGCACAGTATAGTCAGTCCTGCCTTCATTTTCATTCTGCCTGTGCCTTCACTGGCCTCAGGAGGAAAGCAGGCACAGGAAGTTCAGGACTGGACCAGCAGAACCTAGCGAGTCTTTGATGGCAGACAGAACAGTGTGTTCTCACCCAGAGCTCTTCTGCTGACTCCAGACCTACTCTCCTCTCAAGTCATTGTTTTTCTGGCATCTTTCTGAGCCCTTCCCTTCACACTTGCCTCTCCTTCGAGCACTTTGTGCCTAATAACACTTACCATGGTCAAGACCACAGTAATTGATGTAAGTCGGCTTCTTAAATAGCTGAGGTCCCAGGGGTAGGGGCATACCTTGTGATGCCAGCAATGCCTAGCATAAATCCCGGTCCTGGATTACATATTTGTGGAATTGAATTTGGAGAACATAACTCTGACATAGCTCGGGAAATAGCTAAATGAGGAATGTGCCGGTCACTGCAATAAATATTTGGCAAAGGTATAAGGAGAAAAGGTGTTTAAAAATTCCAATGCTAAAAACAGACAAAGGCTCAAATCTTGAACATTTTCTAAAGGAAGGAGATCTTATGCTTTAATTTTTTGTATGTGTTTTGTTTTTGTTAATCTTCACCTGAGGATATTTTTCCATTGATTTTTAGAGAGGAGGGGAAGGGGGGGGGGCGGCGAGGGGGAGAGAGAGAGAGAGAGAGAGAGAGAGAGAGAGACAGAGAGACATACATCTATGTGAGATTGCTTAAGGAGACTTCCCCCTCCTGGACTCTGCCCGGCTGAGAAGTAGCTGCCACTAGGTGGCTCATTTTCACCTTTTCCCACAAGAAGTAAACATTGAGGGCTGAAATAAAAACCTTACTCCCCCCTGTCAGGTAATCCCCTCCTCCAGACACAAGGACAGCATGACAGTCATGTCTAGAGGTGACTGACCTAAACATACCTACCAAGTCCCACAATGTTTTTGCCATGAACTGCCTTTAAATTCTTCAAATGGGCAATGACTTAAAACAATAAAAATGGGAGCGGTGTACCCAGTACTTCTGAAAGGGCGAGTCATCGCGGGGCCTACGTGGGCTGGCCGCCGGGCCCCATGAGGCACAGCCTGACCACACTGCTGGCGGCCTCGGGCACCAACTCCCCAGCCCACGGCGGGAGCCCGGCGCAGGCCACCCGCCCGCCGGCCCCGGGACCGGACCCACGCGGCAGCGGCGGGGCGGGGCGTGTGCCCTTGCCCGAGGAGAAGGAGGAGGAGGCGATTGCCGGCGCCCCCAGGGACTAGATGGAGGATGTGGACTTCCTGTCTGGGCTGGAACTGGTCGACCTGCTGGACCGCCGGCAACCGGACTGGCCCCTGGAGCCCGGGCTCAGCTCGCCCTTGGGGGGGCGAGGACTGCACCCTCCATCTTGCCCTGGGTCCTCCATTTTTGGGCAGAGCCATGTGCTTGGTGGGGGCTTCTTCCCCGAGGCCCAGGCCTCTGCTGGCCACACCCAGGATTTCTCTGGACTAACCAATGATAATCAAGGGAAGTGCACACCATCAATATGACCACATCCTGTGTAACAAGACCCTACTTGCGCCTGGCCAATCGATGGGGCCCACAGTCCCCTCCCCTGCCCTTACTATAAAACCCACAATCCCATCAGGCCTCGCTCTCTCTCGGCCACTTGGCTTGCCGTTGTGTCGGTGAGTGTGGTGGATGGGGAGCTCAAGCTAGCTTGAAATGAAGGACTCTTGGCTTTTGCATCGGACTCGCTGGCTCCCTGGTGGGCCCTTGGGAATCTTGAAATCTGGGCACAACACTTCCAACAGTCGTGGGTCCCTACTCCCTGGGGAAGGTTTCGGGGGAGGGCAGGAGTTAGGAAAGCATTCTCAATAGTGCCAGCACAGAGAAATAGATGAATTTGAGAATTATTTTTGAGGAGAGAGGCTGGGACACTGGAATTAACTGAATACAGGTGAAGGAGAGGAAGATGGCTCCTGGTTTGTGCTTGACCTTTAATAGAGGACAGGTGCTCTCTTGTGAAAATAGTGAGTTCACAGAACTGTGGTGAAAACTTGGGGCTTTACTGAATAGAATGGGAAGCCCTTGAAAGTCTGTGAGCTGAGGAAAGATATGAGATGCTGAGATCACTGCGGCAAATGAGGAGGCAGGTGACTGGAGAGAGGAGCCAGGACAGAGAAACAGGCAGAGGCTTCTATCCAGCTAGAGGTCGGGGGACCCCAGCCATGTCATTGGGAGCCCAAAGACATCCTGGGACTGGTGGCTAAAGGTCTGCTGGTCTCCAACAGCCAGAGGCCACCCTCTGGCATTGCCTTTTAGTGTGGATTTTTTTTAATTAAATTTAAAAATTTTTAATTTTTTTTTTTGAGAGAGAGGCATTGATTTGTTCTGTCACTTATTTCTTCATTCATTGGCTGATTCTTGCATGTGCTCTGACCAGGGATTGAACCCGAAACCCAAGTGAATTGAGACGAGGTTCCAACCAACTGAGCTGCCGGCCAGGGCTAGTGCAGACTTCTGAAGGATTTCTTCAGGGCTGCTGCAGTGCGTGGCTGGGCACATGCTGCCTTCTGAAATGACGTGAGCTTTCAAAAGGCACCCAGAGATATTGTCAGAAACAAGGGCAGGGGAATGTGGGTGGGGAGAGGATTGGAAACAGCTTGGGGCCCAGGGAGGAGCCTGGCAGAATTTTCACTTCCCAGGAAGGTCACATAGCTGCCTAGAGAAGGTTTGAGAGGTTTGATACTGAGAAGTAATGAAGGGGGAAAGGGTGTTCTTTCTCCAAAAGAATTTTTTGAAGAAAAACTCAGGGTAATGACTGAGTAAATGAAGGGTGTTTGTACAATGGATATTATGCAAATGAGTGACAGTGTAAATCAGGGGTCCTCAAACTACGGCCTGTGGGCCACATGCAAATACAAATATTGTATTTGTTCCCGTTTTGTTTTTTTACTTCAAAATAAGATATGTGCAGTGTGCATAGGAATTTGTTCATAGTTTTTTTTTAAACTATAGTCCGGCCCTCCAACGGTCTGAGGGACAGTGAACTGGCCCCCTGTTTAAAAAGTTTGAGGACCCCTGGTGTAAATGGAATGATTGTCTGTGAAGCAGCTACCTGGTAAATGACAAGACTGCAAGTTGCAGAGGAGCTTGACTAGCATGACTGCAGCCAGAGGAGACATTTCTCTCTGTGTTTAAATGAAATACTTGCATGGGCATAGAGCGTTTACAAGTATCCACACCAAACCCCATACTGGTTGCCTTGGGAGAGTGGAATTGGGGGAGGGCTATGCGGGAGATGAAGGTTAACTTCAACATGCATTGCAGTCATTGTTTGACTTCTTCCAACTCATGCACTACTTGGGGATTAGTACTATTACATTAATAAAGTGAAAAAGGAAACCAATAAACCGCATCTACAATATTTTAATGGATCTCATTTTTGTATCCTGCTTTATAATTTAGAAGGATTTAATGTCTCATTTAATTCTAACAGGACCTCTGCAATTCAGATATTTCCACTGCTGTTTTTATATGTGAGGAAACAAGACAATTATTAAAGGAACTAGAATAGCATAATAGGACACTTATAATAATCCACTTACCATTCCATCACTCTCTTTGCATAAAAGTTCTCACTTTGAATTCCCTTCAATCCAGAGGGCATTTTGGAGGAAGGAGGGAGAGGTAGGGAGATCCCCCTGGCTCTGCAATTACAGCCTGCTGTTCTGTTTACAGCTTTCTCTGAGCTCAGTAATCTCTTTTCTGCACAGCAGATAACTCGGGTCGAAGATCAAGGGATAAGATAGGTAATGTTTAGCATAGAAGCTGGTAAGTACTAAGTACTCAATAAGTAGAGGTTTAAAATTAACTCATAGCCTTAGTTTCTTCAACTCTAAAATAGGCATAATTGGTCAAGAGTTATTCTGGGATTAAATAACATTAACTGGTTTAAAGATAGACAAAAATGTAGTATGTAAGCAAATCTATGATTACAACATGTGGGAAAATAGAAAGAACCCCTGGCTGTTACTGCTGGGCATTCAATAAATGGAAAGGAAAGAAACAAGAGGAAAGAAGAAAAGAAAATCTCATAGTAAATTAATGCGAGTATATGCAATATAAGTACGATATATGAAGCCTCATGGTACTGC